TTGAAATCCTTTTTGTGATACGGAGGCCAAGTTTCTTTTCTTTGAGATGAATTAGTCCAGTCACAGTGTAACAACAGAAGACAAGGGCCAGGCAACAGATCGTTTTATTATGAAAATCAACACGTATTTATACATATTTCAGACAACATTATTATAGACAAGCGCAGTCATCTGATTGGTTGTTTAGGTAGACAAACGCAGGCTTCTGATTGGTTGCTTCGGGATTCCTTGACAAACAGAGTTCTCTATCTGCGAATCATATTTTGCCACGTTAACTTCGCTGTGATTGGTTGTTGACTCAGCCTTGTTCACGGCCCATATTGGTGACCTAGACCTTAACGTAGATTAGTGCCAACCAATCGGCTAGCAGCCTGCTCTCACCACAACAGTATTGATCAGCTTGTATTAGATGAGTTCATAAAGGTTCGGCGACCAGATTTCTGATGTCAATTTTTTCACTAACTATCCAGAAAAAGTTAGTGGTTCATATTACATGGTAATCCTAGTAATATTAAGCTACTGCAAGTTTGTTACAGTAAAAAGAGTTTCAAGTCTGCTAATAAAATTGATTATTTAGATATATGAGATGACCTTGACCGAGTAAGAGTATTCTTTGTCACTGTATCGCGTAAAGTGAATATTGTGATTACAATGATTATTCTTCAGAAACTGTCTCACTCCACAGTATGTGGTGTACTATTTTTACAACACGTTTAGTGTTATATATATATATATATATAACAATGAAATTGTATTCTCAAAAGACTGATTACTGAACAAAGAATATTCTTTACTATAACTTCATCAGGTTCTACAGTTATATATCCATAATAATGAAAGAGTTAAGGTTATTAACAACACTTATGTTTAAATAACTTGAAATTAATAGTATCAGTATATTACAGTTCAGTAACGTGTAAGCGTGAGCTGTTGATGTTTTCATTATACCTTTATTTAGCTACATTGGTAGGTGTTCTTAAACACGGCCAATAGAACTCGCTCCCCAAGCGCAGTTGAATTGGCAGATACAACTAGAGGTGGCTAGTTTAGCTGATTCATCTTTCAGTTTGATGAATCACAATAGGTTGTGTAGAAAATATGACTTATAGTTTACCGGTATTAAATAAATTTTCTCAATTATTTTAGTAATTATTTCACCCGGCAAATCATCCTTGAACTGCAACTGTATATACAAAGGATTCTTATTTACAGACGCAGAATAGTTTTTTTCTGAATTCTTTACCATGTGTTTCTTGAAGAACTTTCCTGGATGGCTGGAGCTAGTTATATTGGCTGTTGCTTTAGGAACTTGATCTTTCGTGTTCGGCAACGCCTACCAGTATGGCTGAATTAAGGTATATTGAAAAACATCCATAGCTCACGCTTACAAATACTACTGAACTGCAATCTACTGATACTATTAATTCCCTGTTATTGAAACATTAATGTTGTTAATAACCCTAACTCTTTCATTATTTTTTTCCTTCACGTTTCTCAGTGGAACATAGGTCTTCAAGCTAGTGGCTTGAAGTTTCTGTAGCAGTGTTTATTTTACGGGATAGGGTTGCTAGCCTCATGTCCAACCTTTCCTCTTTACCAACATTATTTCTAGCTTAGCGAGGTGAAGGAGTGTGTCTGTGGCTGGGGCTCAAACCCCGGACCATGTGCATGGTTGGCGAACGTCCTAACCGCTATATAACTGTAGAACCCGATGAAGAAGTTATCGTAAAAAATATTCTTTGTTCAGTAATCCGTTTTGGGAAATTTCTAATTGATATTTTTGATAGATGAAACATACAGTCAACAGAATTTATTCAGAACTTAGATTAAGACAGCGATTTATCATTACATCTGGCTACACCTATTAGATAGGAAAATGTACAACCTAAATGTAAATACAAAAAGCCAACAAATAATAGAGAGTACAATGATTTGAGTAATGAGACACCACTGACTGGAGACGGAAATTTAATTCAGTTATCCTAAAGAATCATAATATGCTGAAATGCGATAGGGGGGGTGGTGTAAATAAACTTTAACCGTACGTACGCAGAACAAATATCCACCGAAGTTTATTCATTAGAAATTTGGAAGACAAGCGATATAATTTAAAATATCTTACTCTTCCGATGAAGGTTTTGTTGAAGAATATTGATTTTAAAGGTGATTCTGAAGGGATTCTGAAAAGTCGGTTTTTGAGGTTACTGAGGTATGTATTCTTGTCCTCTCTGCTGTGGATTATCTTTTCTATTCGGTTAAATAATTTAGTATTCTATTAAAGACTTTAAACTACTTTAAAGGAAATATACAGTTTTCCGTGTTCCTGTGGTGACGATATACGTGCTACACAAATTCACTTTTTTCAGTATCAACTCAAAACGCTTTACAGCATGCCTGCATTGAGGAGGATAAAAATCAGACAACATCTATCTTGTTAGACATGTAATCAAGCCGCAATGATAATGATTCACATAATACTTCTTTTGAAATAAGCTGCAGTGTTACGGCAGAAAGCTATGGAAACAGCACGATTTTATATTAGTGTATGATGAAAGCATTGATAACCGAGATATTCAAATGTGGTTGCCATTTAAGTAAGAATTCTGTCCGACCTTTATTCTTCTCAGGGTTAATGTCTCCACCTTTCTGACTTTAATGCAAGTAACTGATAGGATCTAGATTAAAATAGCGATCAACTTATGATTCAACAGGTGATTCATCCTATGATCAGACGACTGTAAAATTTCATCATCTTTTCCTCACCTTGGTATTGGTCAGATCACTAACTAGTGTGCCCACTAGTGTGTATGACTAATCAGTGCAATGAAAGTTATATGCTTACTAAGGGAGTGAGAGATCGACTACACTCTCTTTCTGTGTGCATAAGTTTGGTATGAGACGTTTGATTGCAATTGCTTCAGCTGTCCTTAGTATGTTTAATATTTTGAAGGATTTGGAAATCTCGACAAAATGACCCGTATCCACAGGTTGGGTGTCTGGTAATTGCACTTTGTAAATATCTTCTTCCTTTTAAGCATAAGCTTCTGGGAATATGCTGTGAAGACCGGATAGAAGCCCTTCTTTCTTTCCTTCCAATGTACTTGCTGCCTCAGGTGCACGTAAATTTATAAATGCAGTTGAAGGTAGTATCAGCAGGGTTTTTGTTCACCTTTACATCTGACATGCTGATACTTAGTTAGCTTACATCACATGTAGACAAAATAATTTGTATCTTTTCATATTTAACATTTTTCTATCACCCTTATCGTCTTATCAGTGGTTACCTTTTTTTCTGCCCCATGACGCCACTTTTGAAGCGCATGGCCCTCTGTTGGTAGCTAGCAATAGTCTGTTATACGGTTGAAGTGAATATTAACAAGACCTCACACTTCTGAGAAATCACTTAAATGAATTAGTCCTTCTTTACTTTATAAAACCCAAGTCCCTTCCCCATTTACTTGGTATAAGAAATGCACTGATACAGTATATACTGGAGAAATTTCTAAAAAGGCAGAAGTGCTGACGACAATAAACAGGAGATTGTTTTTCACTTCCTCCTCTGAAATTACTCGAGTACTCCGGCGTACTCCAAATATTCATCAACCTTATTCAACAGCTGTACAACAACGGCACATGTCAAGTGATCCACAACGGAAAACTCAGTGAGGCGTTTGAAGTAAACACAAGAGTCAGTCAAGGGTGCTTACTATCATCGATGATATTCCTAACTGTGGTGGACTGACTGGATTATGCGTCAGATAGAGTGTGGGGAGTGGAAAGATAGGGATATCCTGGACCGACGTGAAGAACCTAGAAGACCTTGATTTCACGAGTGGATGACTTATGTTCGATGTCACACAAAGTCGAAGACTTACAAGCGAAAACCGACAAACTGGTCGAAGAAGCAGCCAGCGAAGACAGGACTCCAGGTGAACATAGACAAGACGGAGGTGATGAAAATAACCAACCAACAACAACAACAGCAACATCCAGTGCCAATCACCATCAACGGGAGGGATTTGAAAGAGGTTACTTCATTCATTTGCTTATCTAGGGAGCCTTGTCTCAACTACAGGCAGTCGGAACGGACGAGGATGTCAAATCGAGCGAGAATCGGGAAGGCGAGAACACACACATTCATCAACCTGAAACCAATCTGGAAATCTCCGTCACTCAGCCAGCATCAACAACAAAATTCGGTCGGTTGGATTTTCAATACAAACAACGTCAAGTCAGTCACTTCTTCTGTACGGATCAGAAACTTGGTGGGCGGGCGAGTCACAAAGAATATTTCCAACAGGCTATTGCAGACCTTTATCAACAACAACTGTCTTCGCTGGCTCTATACTGAAGATCAGATGGCCGGGCAGGAAAGAATCACCAACAAGAAACTATGGGAACAAACAAAACAAAACAAGAAGCAGTCGCCAACCAACAAATATGCAAGAGAAAGTGGAGATGGATTGGACACTCGTGGCTGAGGAGGCCGCTGGGTGACATCGCGCGCACGTCAGGCCATTGCTCGAGTGGAACCCGAAATTGAAGCGGCGAGTTGGTCGTCAGTGCAAGGGTGACATGGAGGAGATCGTGTGAAGAGTTGAGGAGTTGAAACAGTATGGACTAACATGGATGATGTAGGTGAAAAGTACAGTGAAAGGAAGACAGAAGCAAGTGGAGACGTGCAGTTGAAGCCCTATGTTCCACTAGGAACCCAAGAGAGCAGTAATAATAATAATTAAAAATCGGCTGCAATTTTTGAAACTGAAAAATGAAGTATGCAGGCTAGCCACCTCCAATTGTATCTATCATTTCTACTGCTCTTATGGAGCCAGTTTACATTGGCTATTGCTCTAGGAACTCAACTTTTCGTGCTCTGTAACACCAAACAGTATAGTTAAACAGAGGTGTTGTTAAAACCATCAGCAGTTTCATGTTTTAGATCATCTCGTCCAAACCCGCCATATAACCAGTACTGAGTAGTCTTTCTCTCTCATCTACCAGGTAATGAATAAATTACCAAAAGCCTCTAGATGACAAATACTCCAAACATCGGAGACCATTGCAATTCGCCTAAATCAAATGGAGCTCCACATACAAAATATGCAGGTCTACCCACTGTTGCTACGGTTGCCTGCTGTCAAGCCTACTAATGCATATTATCTCATACTGATGGTTTTGAAAGGTAATCTGTCGATACCACTGACTTAGTTTAATTTAAAACATTGATATTGTTAATAGTTATGTTTATTTGGTTATTCCTGCCATATAAATGTAGAACCTGATGATGAATTCATTGAAAAGCATATTCTTTGTTCATTAGTCAGTATTTTAATAGAAAAAGTCGTGACTAGTTTGTGAAACTTAAAAAAGCCATAGCCTGATGGACGTTGCTCTCAGTAGTGTTTCGGTAGTTGTCTCTTATGTGTTGTACTTCAATTTGACAGTGGATCATATCGAAAAGAAAACAAAAAAGATTCAAATGTTCAGGGGTCTATGAGATGCTGTTTTGTGTGGACCTTAAAGTTTTAAAACTTCTATTTGGCATGGTTTAATATCAGAAAATATGCTGAAGTAACCGGAAGGTCCCGGGTTCAAGCTGCAGTAGGTGTGTATTGAAGAAGAGTCCCAAACTAAGACAAAACGCCTGTCCAGTTCTCCCATGCTTTTAAATGGTGCTCTAACGGATGTCAGTTCACGATGAAATCTTGAAACCAATCAGATCCTTGCAAATTAACACTTGAACTCCCTTGAGGTTCACTTTTTCACTCAGTATTTTTAATTTCACTTTAAAACTTTTTGTAATTCTGTATCTAAATGGGTCATAGGATCCTAAACAGAACACTTATCCTAAGTTTACAGGTTTATGTCCCTGATGAAACTCAAGAAGGCAGAAATATAATTCAAATAAGGACTCATATTGACATAAAATATGAAATTACAGGGGCACTAATATTCCAAGTAGTGTCATACCAATTTATTTAGAGGCCATTTTAAGTACCTGGATGATATATATATATATTAAGTAATATATTTGGCAGCTGGCAATTGGCACAATGTATCTTTTCTTAACCAAGTCTTAGAATTGTTGGAAATCGGTCACAAATAGATACCTCTTTCACAATCTTTCACAGACAAAAGAAAATGAAAGCATCAGTGAGCCCAGAGAGCATGCAGGAGTTACTGAGAATACGTTATCTTGGTAATTGTTGGGGAACCACTTGTATTTACCGCTATCTACTACTAACCATCCACATACTCCATTCAATTCACCTTTATAACATTTACAGGGAGACGTCTCACTGATGATACTATCTTCATTACAGTTGGTATTAGTTGATAAGTAAATCACTTCAGTTAGCTATATTTTTTGTCAATTTATTTGATTTTTATAGAACATATCCCCTACATAAGTGCAATTAAATATTGACCATTTCATAGCTAAAGGAAATAATAATATGACTGAAGATTCTATCTGTTGAAATACGATTGTTGGATACTGTTTACCCTGTGGACTTTTAAAATAAATTTTATTTTTGATAGCTAATAAACTTGTTACCATAAGCAACACATTTGAGAAACTATCACTCAGGTTTATTTTATCCTACATCTCATTAATCCACTATTTAATACTATTAGTACTACTACAACTACTACTACCAATAATAATAATAATAGTGGTAATAATAATGGGACATCTTGGGTTGCTATAACATTGCTTCCTTATAATTAAACACAAAACAGTCACATGTGCTCTAAGAGGGAAGAATCAATAACCAGAAGATACAACAAAGACAAAGTAAACTAATTAATAATAATTAATTGGTGCGATTAAAATATTTAATTAGAAAGATATTATATTCCTCATAACTCTAAACTATGAAAACTTACCACAAAGAAATAATTTACCAAGTGTTGGTTTGCGAAGGATTTGATTGGTTGCAGATTTGATCATGAGTTGACATCAATGAGAGAACCATTGGGAAACCAGCGATTGTTGGACAGCTGCTTCGCTCCAGTCTAGGACTTTTCGGCAGTATGCACCTGTGGGGTTTTAAAATAGGACCTTCCTATTAAAAGGCGAGCTCGCGGATCATTAAGCCGCTGTTACCGGATCCGCTAGCCCATGAATTCCAACTTCCGCTAACTCTATAGAGAGAAATCGTAACCATCAGGTTCCACCAAAGCATATAAGGGAACAGTTACTCGCCCATGATATTGGCTGATGATTGTGCTATATATTGCGAATCGGCAGAATTTGGAGTTCAAGGGCCATTACATTGGGTCCCAGTGACTTAATGGTCTAGGAGTTCGCCTTTTAGCCGGAAGGTCCTGGGTTCTATCCATGGTGGGTATGTACTATTGAAGAGTCTTGAACTAGGAAGAAACAGCTAGGTTTTCCAGGGGTTCTGTAACTGATGTCTACTCGTGATCAAACCTGTAAGTATTTATCAGTCAGTGTATTACACAAAGTGCAGCTATTGCGGTATGTATATATAGAAGATATTCGTATTGTTTGTGGAGCCGACCTACTAAGAATATCATTCTTCTTCTTCTTCTTCAAATTTTAAAGGTTTACTGGGAAGATTAAATTACTGTCCAAATGAAAAGTCGCTCACTTCAACGGAATTTGACGTTAAAAGTTGTTCATTTCAGCCATTCGGTAAGGAAATACAAATTGCCATCTGATTTATATTCTGAAGTCGCTTAAATGGTTCTTTCGTTTGTCGAAGTAATAGATTTCATTTTCTCAGGTTTGATTTTAAAAAGATTACCCAGTGAAAGTTAGTAGAACAATGTGTCTTCGATTAATACATCATTTAATCCCCCACTCACTTCTGATCACTTTTCATTAGTTCACTGTCCTACCAACAAAAAAGTCGGAGAAAAAGTAACATGAGGAAGACAAAAAACTTAAGAGATCTGGGAGGTTAGGGAGAGTGAATGCATTTGCGCTACTGAGAACCGTTTCCAGCTATATAACCAGTAATCTCTAGCTAGGGCTCTTTGGTACCTTAAGGATCCTTAACTGGTAGTCTACACCTCCCTATGTGGCTCAAAATCAACTGTCAGTAGCTTCAGAGATTGATGCCATGTTTTAGTCTGGCCAACATCAAAACTTTCAAACTAACCCTATGTCAGCTAACTTTGCTCATCGAGGAAAATGGAAGCTAAGGCATCCGTAAAACGTGTCTTATCCAACTCAATCGACATAGCTTCACAACCTCATTGATTGGCTCCACTTCCTTGCTTAGAACTCTAGGCTTAACTTCAAAACTAATCACCAAATTATACCACTTAACATTAGAGATAGAACGCGAAAATCTAAGGTCAAACACAGTTATGCTTTTCAGTTCTTCCACTTTCAATGCCCATATCTCGCAGGTATAAAGAAAGACAAGGCAGTCTATAGTCAGATATCATGTCTGTTCCAGGGATGACGTAAAATGCCAAAACACCATAGGAAGCTTCTGTGTCCGTCCTAAGATTTCATCAGGAATCAATGAATTAGGGGTGACGTGACTTCCCAAACAAGTGAGGCGGTTAACATGCTCAACCACTTTCCTACCTATTCTTGAACTAGATTTTGGTGCAGGCTAGTGAGGCGGCATCGTGCTTTGACACGGGCGAGTTGCATGCGAAACGTACTCGAAATTAACTATACAGAAAAACACTGCTACAGTACTTCCTGGTAGACGGAGTAGGATACCACCTTCAGGGCAAGAAATCTGAGAAGTGTTGGAAGCCACTAAGCATGCCTGTGTCTCGAGAACTATTCAGGGGTGAAGATATGTTCAATAAACTCTCCTCCTGACTTAAAGTCTTACTGGTTTTCCCGAGTTTGTTTCTCCTGAGCACCATTTAGTCTACGCATGATTATTGAACCCAGAACTTTATATATTAGATAAGTGAATCGAAACTTCTAGCGATTATCACAGAAAAACTTATATCCTTTTCTATAAACCAGGATAATCAACGATTTAGATTCGGTTAACCGGACTGTCTCTGGTTCCATCCTGACAGTTAATTGCAGCTCGGTTTTTCCCAAAGATTTTTTCGTTTATCATTCGCCTTTTCCAACCTGTCTGCCTATCGAACCAAAATATTTGCCTGGTGCTTTTTCCATTTTCACCGCTTACTTCCTAAGCCTTGCTACGGATGAGTCGTAATTTATCTGACTCGTTACATAGTAGGTAAAGATGTTAAATTTCCTACATTTGGTGCCTTATTAAGACCATTTTTCAAATGACTTCTCTTCAATGGTGCTTTTAAAATGTTAGTATTTAAATAGTTTTTCCTGGTGGCATGTAAGCATTCAATTTTTCTCTGAGATTTTCTATATTCTTTACGGACAATCTGTGTTGAATAAATTCATAACCTTCTGTGTACAGCTTAAGCTAGTGTCATAGGGTTTGGTGGCCAATCAGTCAAAGAAATATTTCTATTGGGTGCATGAAAACAGAGGAAAGTAGGTGGAGTTCAAGAAGCACTTTGAATTAAATTTGAGATTCATATCAGTCACTATCACTTCCTCAAACACATAAGTCAGCTAGGTCTCTAAGGGTTTATTAACAACCACCAGCGAATAAAGTCGATGATTTCTAAGCATATTTTATGAACAGAGTTGTATAATATACCTTTTTCCTTAGCTATGAAGCTAAGTGAGTGATTGCAGTCACAACAATTTTGGTGAATTGTAACATCCTACTGACAAGTAGTCATGTTAAAATTGGAATTACTGCATCATATATATAGTTGAGTGACAGTCTACTGAGGTATCAGGTTGTTTAATATCTGCATGTCTTGTTGCTGGAGCTAAAGACTGTATATTAATGAGGATATTCTGGCGAAAGCAAGTATGACAAAGTTTCAAGAACTCTTTAGTAGGAAATTCGTCAAGTGAATTGAAAAGAAGAGGTCGGTCCCACCTTACAAAATGATACATTAAAAGTATGCAAATGCTATGAAAAGTATGAATAAGTAAACACTGGCAGGAAGTCTGGAGATTGTGCGTACTATACCACATTCATGTAAATGACTATATTAAAGTCTTTGCATAAATAACTGTCTAGTATTATTGTATTTTTGGCAGTAGTTGTCCTTGCTTCTCTTAACTCGTGGAATCAACAAGAACAGTAGGCTTTCTGAAATTCAGGTGTATTTAAAAAACTAATGTGTCAGTGGAGCTGAAGAATAGTACAGGCGGGGAAATTAATTAGATTTCATGTTTGATCATAAGGATATTGTCCAGATGGTTTCAGATGCTGAGACAAATTGATCAACTGGTTTCTAGGATTATCTCAACTTTTTCACCTGACGGATGTATTTGACCCCAGCAGAAGATTGGTCGTATAACAGCTCTTTTCACTTTAAAAGAAACATTTAAAGTGTGCTTGAATGGTAAAGTCACTTTGTGCTACCAATTCTAATCTCATTGGAGGTTACGGAAACTTAACTTTTGAAGTATCTAAATTTACAGTAGATCCGCTTACTGAGGTCACATTTCCACATCCGTCTTCACATGGAGGTTCATTTAGGATAAAAGCATAGCCTCTTAAAAATTATGTGACAATTTAAGGAAATCTGATATATGTTTTGTCTTTCAAATGCAACGATTAACTTTAGAACACTTGTACAGCCTTACCCTTTGTGATTGGAGGAATCAAAGTGATTGATCTTTAGGGTTTGATGTAACTAGGGATCATTGGTGACAGGTGATTTATGTTTCCACAGTCAAATCCGGTGTCACAGAAGTTTTATGATATTTCAGCTGATGGCAGTAAAGTAATGAGTCGAAATATTGGTTAGACGACCTTCATATCACTATGTAGAGTAAAACACCTCTTTCACCATGAAACAACACCGACCATGTATATATATATGTATATGGCAGTTTATGTATTCAGGCTTATAACAAGCGTTGCATGATCTTTAATTGACTGTTGGATAAAGTGTATTCACTACTGTTGAACTGATTTGTTGGTTTTACCACTAAGTAATGCAATATATTGGTTTTGAATTTTAGTGACTGTAATATGGGAGACTTAATCATCTTATTACATACTACCAGTTGAAAGTTCTGTCGGAATTCCTAGCAGAGAAGTAGACTACTGAGCAACAGGTGAATTGGTGGATGGTAACTAGCAGTGGAATCTAGCATTTGTATTTCGCCCTATTTGGGGCTCATCTTGATGTGACTGTATTCCTCAGTGAATAATAGTGTTCCCACTGAAACTGGAACCAAGTACCCATCGTTACAAACATCACAGCACTATCCACTAGACGACTAGGATTATAGCAGCTTCCTCTTATGCGAAGATAATCACTTATTGTTATTGGACAGAAATTGCCAGGAAGCCTTACATGACTTAGGTTTCGTGCTACGGCATATCTGGAACCTTGAAGGAACTCATGTCCTTTGGGAGACTCAAACCCGGGTCACCCAGTGCCACCTGCAGTCGGGGACGTTACCACTGAGTTATTCAGGCTCGCGGCTGAACATCTGTAGGACTGTATTGGATATATATGATTGGACACTAGTCAGTAACTAGTGTAATGTGTCTAGTCCTATCTTTGATGCAGACTGAATTCTATCAGTGGGCTTGACTGACATGCATTCCTTCAAGGTTGCAGATACGCCTTGCCAACTAGTATACAAACCAAAAAATACAAAATATTCTTCGCTTGTAATAGCAACCGTTTTTACTAAATGGTAATTCTCAGCATGACAAATGTTCATCATAGGAAATATTAAAAAGACGGTTGCAGCATGTTCATTAACAGATTTTTCATGCAGTGTCAAAAATCATTTAGAGAAAAACTGTTTTATTAATTACTGTGTGGTATACCTTTTACTTATATCTAAGAAACGATAACCTGTGGGTTGGATTAGTCGAAATGTTTTACAGTTAAAAGTGTTTTTATGACTTCATATTTATTTATTTATTTATGAGATCTATTACGAAGTGAACCAGTATTATATACTGGATGACTTTTCGAACACAATTTATTATTCAGAGTCATATCAATTAAGATGACATGTTATTTCTAAGATTAGAACGTTTTCTCTCCATATGTAATAAGATCTTCAACACTGGTTGGAAATATGTTACTCATTACTACTACAGACGCCTAGATATTTAATAACGAGGAAATGTCTCTGTACTCGTATCTTGTTAAAGTCTGCTGTAGATATCAGTGCATTTATTCCAGCGGCAAGTGAGCCAAAACTGATGCAGTGGATTTGAAGTTTACTTAAAATCAATAGGTGACATTATTTTCAGCTGATATGAAGATTTAATGATTTAGTTTCCAAGAATGATTGGGAACGAACAAATCAAGAACCTGTCAGACAACTAATATGCTGAAGAAAATTGAAATGGATCAGATACACTCTGAAGAGACCGTTGGATGATGTCACACTCCAGGCAGACTCTTGAGTGGGAAACGATGAGTTGGGGAGTTGGCCCCGATGGTTTCATTCAGGATGTCGTATGAGCAGGAGAGGAAAGTTCATTGGGAATCATGGAGCCAGATGAAGACGACTACAGACAGTCAGACAAGATGGAGATGTGCTGTTGAGGCCCTAAGTTCCAATCCAAACCAAAGGGAATAATAATACAAAACTATAAAATGCAAGCGGTTAACGCTACCGGAACTCTTCAGGGTGCTTGAAACCAGTTGGGATTTTTGTGGTCATTAGCGTACAGTTAACTGTTTATATACATAAGTCATAATTCGCAAATCTTAAAAGGGACGTAAAGTGATATTAGATTAATCGAGTTCTTTATTTTGCCTTATAAAATGCGTGAATCAGACTATATATATGAGTTGAGAAAAATACAAAGGAACTACTTCTGTCTTCTTGTTGTAACGAGCAAGGAAATAAACAATAAACATATGAGAATAAAATAACCTAGAATTCGATAAAATAAAGAATATATTCTTTGAACCGTCTGTTTCTAAAAAGGAAGATTTTATGCAGTGTTTCCGTTTAATCTTGTAAAATTCAGTAGACATTATTGACATTCTTATTTTCTACGTCTCAGAAAGTAAATTTTATTCCTATACAATCAATACTTTGAGCCTACTGACTGGGAAACAAGTTTCGATTATGAATTTGTGTTCAAATGTTCTGTAAACAGACTAGTGTAAGAAATATGTACCAGTGTGCGGTTGTCAATTTGTTCATCAACACTAGACAGAATTATATGTCAGTGCAAGTATGAAGTAGAAATGAAATATTTAAAAAAATGCCTATTCGATCAGTATCAAAAGTCAGTCAGTTCTCACCTATGAAGGAACACCTGGAGTACGATAGAATAAAAGTGATGTCTAATATATGACAGTACAAAAGTATTATTTACCGGATAATGTTATGAATGCAGTTTACTGTTCACCAGTCTTAACCTACTGTGCGTCAATGGAACAGCGGTTAGGAACCTAGCCGACCGTGCACATGGTCAGGGGTTCGATCCCTTGCCGGCACACACCTAATATCAATGGTTGGTCTGCAAACATTTTGACTACCGATATCATATGCTGAAAATTCCATACTTGTACCAAAAATACGCTGTGGAATCAAGCTATAATCAAAACAAAAAATATATAATGATGAGGTTCGATGTGAAGTATCAAGTGAGGAAGAAAGCTCGATCACTGAGGTTGTTCTTGTTTATCTACTGGCATTACAGAGACAATTTTCATTTAACAATTTCAAAACTCTTTATAAAACAGTAATATCGGTTGAACTAGGGTTAATTGAAAAAGAAATAACACGAATATCCGAAGTCTCTGACTAGTTGTCTACGCTATGTTGTTTTGGACGGAGTTCTCCCAGTGTTGAGAATCCTTGGTGAGAAACAACTTGGTATACAATCCTTCATTTGCAATCATCCTGAAAATTATCGGTATTTTTATATTGACCAGTTAATTAATACCCTCTCAGTAACAGTTAAGTTTCCTCATCATAATGCTATTCTTTTCCAGCCTAGTCGGAAATGAGGAAAGCTGAGTCGACAGATTTCTGTGCCAAGTCAAATATCAATGTCTCTGTATTTAGTAAATTAAAGTTGTGCAAACATAATTTCACTTAGAAAACAAACATGCACAGCTAAAATTGTAACTTTTCAGCAAAGAGTTGCCACTATATCTGTAAGCTTTGAAATGTTCTCACTGAAAATATGGTGTTCGTTGGTGGCCGGCTTAAAATTTGGGCTACGGAAAACCTCCACCAGTATATTGCACATAGTTTCTTTTATTTATTTTTATTTTTTGATTACAGCTTGATTCCACACCGTATTTTTGGTACAAGTATGGAATTTTAAGCGTGGATATCGGTAGCCCAAAATTCGCAGGCCGACCATAGATATCAAGTGTGCGTCGGCGTGGGATCGAACCCCGGACCATGTGCATGGTCGGCGAGAGTCCTAACCACTGTGCCACCGACGCACAGTTTAAATCTTATAAAATATGGCCTTTAATAGTATTGTTTACTGTGGTGGCTAGTTAAATATATTTACAACCTGCTGATTCATATGTTTCTACTAAACTTGAGAAGAAGCATTATCCTCGATGCTTTCAGCTTATCCTATTACATGAGACGACTGATTCACAAAATGTACTCTTGAACTTTGGCATTCAACAAAACCTCGTATATTTTCTCGGAGACAAAGAAGAGCTGTCATAATGGGTTGGCTTCAGATCAGATAGAGCTCTATCACACGATCTACTGTCAGATAATCTTTTATCTGAAGATACAGGACGAAGAAGAAATATCACGCAGTAAACTCCACCGACAAGTTTGTACATCGTATAAACATTGTTCAGAATAAAGCCATTAATATTATTATTCATCCGTTTGATTTACATAACATTTTGCAGGCATGACTTTTAAATCTGACCACAGATTGATGTCAATTACAGAACCATTGAAAACTCAGGAGTACTAGAAAGGCTTTTCGTCTCAGTCTCGTCAGTACCCACCCATGACCCCAGTGGGGATTGAACTCTGGACCTTTAAGTTACGAGGTCTAGTTGTGTGACCACTTAGCTACTTGGGTCGGATCCATGAATTCTAACTTCTGTCGATTCATAATTTTAGTCCGGTTGACATCGATCCGTGGTCAAGCTTGAAACAAATCGAGCCCCTACAGGCCAGCTCTTGAAAATCATGACTTTGTCAACCAAATCAGTTTGTCGGCATTGTTCTCATAAAAGTCTTACAACGTGAAGCCAAAAACGAAATTCACTGGTAAAATGCTGAAGTCTAACATTGTATCAAAGTCAGGCATTCTCTGCTGACATCTCGCTGAAATTTCACTGACCCTCACTTCGAACAAGATATTTCTTAACCATGTACTATGAATGAAATACGTGGTAGAGAGATAAGATTTTTCTATTTCAGATTAACGTTGCCATTCCATCTCCACACAGTTGACGTGAAAGTGATAAAGTTTTTTGACAAAACAATAAGAAGACGTAGTTTATCTGAAACGTATAATGTATTGGCGCAACACATTTCGGACATTCTGATCACACACGTACTTGTCATACACAGTTTTTATATAAGGCAAGAAAGCATGAATAATTACAATACAGGTCAAGGTCACAAAATAATGGGTAGGGAGACGCAAAAAGTGTGGGTAAGAAAGATAAAGGGAGGAAAAAAAGGCAAAGAAAGGGTTTGAAAATATTATGAAGTAAAATTGGTCCTTGGTTCTAAGTTGGATTACCAAGGCAGGTTTAAGGTGATAACAAATAACTTTTGGCCGCATAAGACAGGTTTAAGTCTTTTAGTGGCTAAGGCTTCAATGAATTTAAGTATGTGACCCAACCTTGTCTTATATATCGGCTTAAAGGCATTATTAAAATCAACCTTATGACCCGTCTCTATAATATGCTTCGCTATAGATGATGTTGGACATCTATTTCCCGGGTCAACTGTATCTGGCGATTTCATTTGTTGTTGTAGCCACTTTGGAATGTGTTCTGTAGCCCTAACATGCAGAGACCGATGGGTCCTCCCTATGTACGTGTCTACACACATACATGTAAATTGATAAACACAGTGGGATGTGACACTATCGTTCGGATAATGTGAGTTTTTATTATTTATTGAATGTGTCAATGTTTTTAATCAGTATATATATATATATATATATATATATATATTCCGTGTAAACGTTTTGTATCTCATTTTCATTTCAGAAGACAAGTACAGCGGAAATTATTTCCTGGACATAATGCGTCTCTTCATTCCGATCTTATTTATGCACCTTATAGCCATAACGTCGATTGAGTTGTTCGTGTATTAGACAGGATGCTCTGCATCTTCTTACTCACAAAGGAAGACTGCCTAAAAGAACGTCGCTTGTTTAATGCTATACGACTTAAGACAGGCTGACTATAAACAACACTTTCTTCCCATTTCTGTTTAAGAAATCTAATAAATTTGTGAAAATAACTACAGACGATGCAAATATGTGAGCTGTAACATCCAATAAGCCTTAAATGTTTTAATCTGACTTCTATTACTTTAACCTGACAATAATGCCCAGAGTGTTAGACGATTTATATAGACAAAAATCTTTTTACCTTTAGTCAAAAGAAAGATAATATTTCGAAAAAATGTTACAAATGTATGAATTAAACTCAAAAAAATGTCTTTGATGATAGCTGCATACGACATGAAGGTCTTGAGGTCGAATTAATTTTCTCTTTTTCAAATAAAATAAACTAAATGAAAAAAATTCTGTTTGAAGTATATCGAGTCAGTTTATTCTGGTCAGAAGAATTTAGGTCAATAAATGTGCACATATTATTACTACTATTATTATTACTAAAGTGTAAATTACTGAAAATGTGCAATTATTAGTCACTAGACTGCAACGGATATCACGATTCTCATCCCTGGTATCAGAGCTGTTTGGATTCCATCAGTCAAGTTTGCAGTGTGGTCACAAAGGTAAGTAAGTCCTCATTGAGTTAATGGCTGGTTGGGAGAAAAATGTATGAAGCCCTGGACCTAGATGTTGAGTTTATTAATACTCATTAGCAAGATGTATTTGCTACCTTGAACCTACATCATCAGTGGTGCAATCATGGATATTACCACTAAGCTATTCGAATTAATGGTAAACCTATAGATTCACATTAGGAAATAAGTAAAATTACTCAAATATGCTTCTCCTTTAACGGTATATACATGGTTAGGATACAACTAAATTTAATTCATACATGAACAGGTTAGAAAAGATCAGATGGCCAGAAAAGATCATCAACGGAGATCATTGGGAGCCAACCAACCAGGAACCGACTGTGCAACAAATATGCAGGAAGAAATGGAGTTGGATTGGCCATACTCTGAGAAAACTATCAAGTGACATTACACGCCACTCCATCGCTCGGGTACGGCCCGAATGGGAAGTGGCCAGTCGGTCGTCAGTGCGAGAGTGATATGCTGTAGGAGGTCATGTAAAGAGGAGATGAAAACATGAGAAAGACGTGGAGCCAGGTGAAAACGTTGGCAGAGAGCCGAACGCAGTGAAGACGTATGGCTGAAAGCCCTGCGTTCCTCTAGGAACTACAGGAAACAATAATAAATAATTTTAAGGTCAGAAAAGTTATTTATGCAGGCGTTTATCAGAATTAAGATAGATTATTTTTTGTTTCCTATTTATAACTGCTTTTCTCGATGGTAATAATAACAGCTTTTTTCTGAAAAAAATACTTCCATACATATTGGAGAATTCCCCTCTTGTTCTATTGCAAAGTAATTACTCCTGATGTGGAATCTCTACGGTAAATTAATGATAGGTAATGTATCATCTGAAGCTATATATTCAAAGCATGTTCTGATAACCTGCTATACTTTTACTGTAGAGCAGAAGGGTGGATTCAATTTGAAAATAGGAGTGAATACAAATTGCGATTCAGAAATATAACTGGATAAACAAAACAATATGAAACAGACTAAATAGGATGCATTTTGATAGGTGCAAAATTAGGTGGCTCAGTGATTTAAGCAGGTTGCCCTTAATGATTCATTTATTATCACTACTTCATTAGATTGTATGGAATATAACACATAAAACAATACCTGAGAATTAATCTGATGCTCACTAGCGACCGGCCCTATTAAGGCAGTTAACCTAGGGTTCTAGTAGAAAGCAGTGACCAATAAGGTACAGCAGGCTGAAGGTAAGGCAGTAACTCATTGAAGAAGACATTGCGAAGTGGTCGCACTATATCATTGGCAGAAGTTAGAATTCATACACTGGCCACTGGATTGGGTACCAGGGGCTTAATGGCCTACCAGCTCACCTTGCAACCAGGAAGTCCTGGGTTCGGACCGTGGCAGTGGGTGCGTACTGAGGAAGAGTCTCAGACTAGGCTGACGAAACAGCCATCCAGTACTCCCTTCAGGTTTTCCCGTGGTTCTTTAACTGATGTCAGCTCATGATGACACCCCCCAGCCAAACAAACACAATCCCTACAAAAACTACTACTTGAAAATAACACATTTTATCTAGTCAGGACAACACATTATCTCTTAAAATCATATATATACAAATAATTTCTTTTTGAGAACTACTAGACCCGTAGTATAGCTTAATTCATAGTCATGAGAATCAGCGCTTACTGTTAGTTAACAAAAATGATGCATCAAGCTCACTAGCATTTAAAAATCAACAGCAATACATTCTCACATGATGTGAATAGTTTCATGAACGAAAAACATAAAAGTCAATAACAGTAGCATTGAAAGGTAAATTATCAATTATAAACGGAGTTGAGACTGTTGACACGGCAGTGCGATAACATTAAGCGTATTTCACTTAAAGTGATGACTACGTTTTTGGTGAAATAATATCAGTCCTGCATATATTTATTCCGCTTTAAGACTTCAAACAAAGTAAAAACAAATCTTTGCGTGGAATCACATGAGGCCATTGTCAGCGACCGACTAAGGTTTAAATTGGAAAATTCAAACAAAGACAGGACTGATACAATCGAGTGGAGCACCACAAATGTATTGGAGGAGCTTACTAAAAACAGATTAACTGGCAGCAGAGCCTTCAATGACTTGAAACCTCAAAAGTCCCGCATGTCTTACATGTACGGCCTCCCAAAAATACAAAAGCGAGGTGTTCCCATGAGAACTATACTTTCCATGATCAATTCAGTGCAGCGCAAAGTAGCCCGTTTGCTTGCAGAGATACCGTGGCCCATCCCTCAACGACTATCTGAGTGTATACTTCAGGATTTATTGCATTTTGTTGAAAGCCTGAAAAAAACATAAACGATCCCAACAAGTTCATGGTATCCTTTGATTTAACCTTTCTATTCACAAGGATTCTTTTTTTGAAGTTGTCGATATTATATGCCAGGAGCGCTCTCTTTGCCAGTGAAGGGATTTAAACGCCTACTACCAACGTGCATCACAGATGTACAGTTTCAGTTTCATAATAACCTCTTTGTTAGAAAAATGGTGTAACTATGGGCAGTTAACTAGGCCGCCTACTTGCATATACCTTCATGTTAAATTTAGAGATTACCACGCTGAAAAGGTAATTGATGAGACAATCTCCTATTGTCAGTATGTAGATGACACCTTCAAATTATATGATAATGCAAATAATGCATCTCATCTACTTCAGCTGCTCAGTGACGCACATGAGAATGCTGGCTTCACAATGGCACATGCATTTTTTCCTTCACGTTCCCAGTGGAACATAGAGCTTCAAGCTAGAGGCTTGAAGTTTCTGTAGCAGTGTTTATTTTACAGGATGGGGTTTCAGCCTCATGCTCAACCTTTCCTCTTTAACAGCATTATTTCTTGTTTAGCGAGGTAAAGGAGTGCGTCTGTGGCCGGGAATCTAACTCGGACCACATGCATGGTCGGTAAGTGTCCTAACCGCTATGCCACCGACGTACAGAATGTAAGAATGAACCTACTAATTTTAAAAATTATACATAAGATTGAATCAGTTGTAACTCAACTTTCCCAACAATGGCACATGAAACTGATTGAAAATCCCATCTCCTCAGTATCGCCATATAACGTTTGGAAGATGGTAGTGTGCATAGATCCACGTGGAATGGACTATACTTTCAACAGCTTTTGTCCAATCAACAACAAATGCGCATTGTACAAAACTCTTTATTACAGAGGCAGAAGAATATGGTCCATAGAAATACTGGAAGACGAACTTCTAAACATTGAGCAAGTTTTGATAAATAACGGTTATTGCCCGAAATTCAACATTAAGTATGAAGGATTTGAAAATCGAATAACAATCTCCCGGCACGATAAAGGGTTGATAAATACACTTTGCACGTTAATTCTAATTGTGTATACAAATTTACGTGTATCTGAGGGGGCAGTTACACTTGGAGAACAGAAAGGAGAATATATCTTAGATTCTTTGGGCGTGTTTCAAGGAACAATGCTTTGAGTAGTGATATTGCCAGATATCTTGTTGATTCGGGCGATGTGGTGAACAGCGTAAGATCAATCGGGATTATTAATAAGCAATGCAACACAATTCTCCTCATATTTGCCTAAGCAATCGCTATTAAACATCTAAAACCTGGTTTATGTGTTCAGAAAAATTCACTTATTAGTCTTTCTTTACCTAAGTGACCCAACGTCTAATTTCTTGGTCTCGGTCGAGTACATAATCTTTTGCTTTCGCCCAACTCCCCGCCTATTATTTCGCTTTACTGAAATTCAGTTATTTTTTGTTACTGTGACTTGAGTTAAACCCACTACAGCATTACTCATCATCAACTCCTCTCTTCTTGTCTCAATTATGCAACTGAATTTTCAGTGTATCCGACCATTAATTTAGGCATGTTTGTAATCGGTTGAACCTTGATCTGTTTCATAAGGGCAATAAAAGTAGAACTTCTGAACACTGTTTATTAACATGTGTCTCTGTTTAGCCTTGCATATATGACAGAATTCTGTATACATTTATATAATCAAATTTTAGGTTGTCAGCAGCTGAAGAGAATCCAACGAAATAAATTATAGCCTCATTTTTATTCTGTACAACCATTTGTTTTGCTTCGTTTAATATCCTTCCTATCTATCTATTACTGGACTTTGTTTTATTTGTTTGTTTTTGTTTGCTGGAAATCAGCCACTATGCAAACTATGAAAAAGTCGATCAGCGATTCTTAAATTTTCTAATCAAAAGAACCACTTCACACTACTGGTAAGCAGTCTTTGCAGTGAAAAAAAAGTAATAAAGGAAAGTGAGATTTGCAAAGTGGATGTACTGACATTAGAATACTACACCGGTATTTATCGTGATATTTTCAAATTAATTATAATGAATGTGTGATAACTATCACTAGACAAAAATCAAACACATTTTTGTAGTATTTAATAAAGCAACCTGCTGCGAACTAAAAGTAATAAGAAGATAAAGTCGTGAAACGCAATAAAACTTGGAGTTTAGCAAGAATGATTCTGTGTAAATGAACGAATTCGATATTAGTTTGTTTAATAGATGTATCATACAGTGAAACAGTAATATTTACTGGATGACGTTTTGAGCAATATTCATTGTTCATAATCATGTCAGTTATAATCACACGACTTTGAAACTTGAGTTTTATAGTTTTCTTTGTTGTCTCCTATTTGTCGTCTTAGGGGTAGTAGAATTTTCCAGATATATGGGACAGGTGATGAATCATTCCTATTACATGTATTCGCAGTTGA